TTCATTGCGAGAAACCTTGCAGTTCTAAATTTGAATCCAAGAATCTTCCATCTTATTATGTAATAACTCTAAAATCCCCGTAGACAGGGGCGTACGCAGAAATTTTTATAAGCGATGTCGAAATTTATAGAACTGGAATATAGATTTGATTATTATACATTTAAATAAGAAATAGCCTTAGTTTATTGATTTTGTTGAGTTTTGAATTAGAAAAGGTCCTGAGTTCAATCACTTCATCACAATTTTTAACCACAAAGGCTCTCTCAAATATTATGCAAATAAAAAAAGTGCTAGTTGAGTTTTGAACCTTTGACCTCTTAGAGCAAAATCAAAGACATAACCTTTAACCAACACATTTTATGTAAGTGGGGTCATTTTTTCCTACTTATCCATTTTTGTGCAGTATTAATACATATATTTAGTAAAAATTTCCAACGAAGCGGTGTCGCGTGACACCACTTCGGTAGGCGTGCATCCGCCCCTGCCTGTAGAAGTAGTAAATAAAAAGTCATGCACTTATGCCCAATTCTAACAATCTATTACTAAAATAAATTTAAAAAAATTTAATGTATCTGTTGATCAAGATCGTAGTATTAATTATCAATAGTGTACTATTCATTCTTATGCCCAATTCAATATCTTGAATTCATGTCTTATCTCAACCTTGAATTCGTATATTTATCTCAATCTTTATTTTGAATCCGGCTTTGACACCTTGCATTCTTTTCTGAGCTTTTACTACTATATCTGAATATAATATATAAAGGCCTTCAGATTTGGTATCTCACAATTGTATCTATTTGTAAAAGTTTTATAATCCTTTACAATCTTAATTTTAGTTTATGTCTTTTTTATAAGATTATTTTCATTTTTATACATAAGAGACCAGAGAATGACACACAAGAAATTTGAAATGTCATCTTTTTATTCAAATTCTAAGTAGCCACAAAAGATTATTTTCTCATTGGAACAATTATCTTTTCATTTACTTTCATGTTCATGAACTTTTTAATGGAAAGATAATAATTTTAAAACTATAAAAAGGAGGACTTGCATTAGATAGTTCAGAGAGAGAGAGAGAGCAAATCTTAACCTAAAAGTACTAAAAAAAAATGTTCACTTACCAAGATAAAATTGTTTATGTCACCTCAAACAAAGTATACTTGAAAAATCAATGATAATGCCTTATAATTCTCTCTTTCCTCAGTACCTTCAGTTGCTTCGGCTACCTGATCGATTAATTTCTCGCAACTATCAAGAAAAGATAAACGCTATATGAAACTTTGAATGAATTTTGTCCTCTCGTAAGAGAGTTGCTGATTTTCATCAAGAGGTACCTCCATTTATGCTACTTAACATCGCATAGTTGGAACCTACTTTAAGAAGGAAGAGAAAGTATTATTGACATGACTCCTCTTATTTAGAATTCGAAACCTAATTGTGGTCTTTTTGGACTCAAACGACACAAATAAGTGTAAAAGAAAAATTGAATACCATTTTATATATAGCGCAGTTATTCACCGCACTATAACTTAATGGCACGTTGTCCATTAAGGTTGTAACGACCCGACTGGTCGTTTTACTTTTTAAAACTCCGTTCCCCTAAATAAGACTCCCCGTACTTGCTTTTGCTGATTTATGACTTGCTGGGATGGTTAGTTCGGGATTTGGAAGAGTTTGGGTTGAAATCGGAACACTTGGTTCCTTAAGGTTGGCCTGAAAGGCCAAGTTTGACTTCGGTCAACATTTGTAGCAAACGACCTCGGAATTGGGATTTGACGGTTCCAATTGGTTCGTATGATGATTTCGGACTTGGGCATATGTTCGGATTGGGTTTTGGATGACCCGGGAGCGTTTTAGCGCATAATAGTGAAAGTTGGTTCTTGAAGGTTTTTAGAAGTTCTTTAAATTTGGTTTAGAGCGGGTTTTGGTGATATCGAGGTCCAAACGGGATTCCGAGATCGGGAATAGTTCCGTAATGTCATTTAAGACTTGCACGCAAAATTTGGTGTCAATTCGAGTAGTATAAGTATGCTTCGGCACATTGGAGGTAAATTGAAGAACTTGAAGTTCATAAGTTTGAATCAATTGGTTTTATGGTGTGATTCCTAGTTTTAATGTTGTTTCGGGCATTCAGAGGGTTCGAGCGAGTCCGTTTTATCATTTCAAACTTGTGGGTGTGTTCGGGCGGGGATCCGGGGGCCCCGGCGTCAATCGGACGAGGCTCGGACCAAGTTGAAAAAATTGAGCAAAAACTGAATGCCCAGCTTCTGTCATAACCACACTTGCGGTTGGTCAGCCGCAGATGCGAGCTCGCAGGTGCGGGCCTTGACTCGCAGATGCGGCCAAGGGTGGGCGCCCAGAAACCGCAGATGCGGCCCTTTCTCCGCAGAAGCGGTGGGCCTTCCGCAGAAGCGGCCCCAGCCGGCTCAGTGGAGTTCCGCAGAAGCGGACCATTGTCCGCAGATACGGTGGCGCAGGTGCGGCCTAGGACCACAGGTGCGGAAATCACTGAAGGCAGTAGCCTTCATTTAATACGGGCCTTAGACGTTTTTGGCTCATTTCACACCATTGTTGGGCAATTTTTGAGCTGCTTGAGAGGGGTTTTTCACCAAGCTTTTGGAGGTAAGTAATTTCTACTATATTTGAGTTAAATACTTGGATTTTGGGTAGATTAACATGTGAAGAATCCTTCCTTCAATTTACACTGATATTTACATTGATTTTTACACTTAAACACTCTAAAAAGTTCCATCGAGTTAGGATCGGAGGTTGTTTCTTCTGTGTTGCTGCTGTCCTCATTTGCTGTGTGTGAGCTCTAGGCCTAAAGCTCGTATCTCTTCTTGTTTCTCTGTTTGTTGTTTTCTGTTGGTTGCTGAGCTTGGTTTTTTGGATTCTAGGCCTTTATTTGGTTATTTCTCTACCGTTTTCTTCTTTAGGTATGTCCATCTTTATACGTATTCCCTTCTCTTGTCACAGCCCAAATTCTCCCTCCGTGAATCGTCGTGATAGCACCTAGCCTCTACGACTAGGTAAGCCTAACACTTAGCGAAAATAAAATGAAAACATGAAAATTAACAACTAACAGTAACAGATATTCTAAATAAGCAATTTAAGATGTCGCTCGATATATACAATAAGCAACTCTCGAGATATTCACAACTCTCCCAAGACCCGGAACACTGTAAGGCACAAACTTCTACGAATTTCTAACTGTTCTATACATCAGTGTCTAAAGAAATAAAAGAAGGATCGACATAAGGGATAGAGGGGCACTCCGAGGTCTGCGGACGCGGGCAGATGTAACTTTTAGTCTCCTGATCAGCAGAAACCGTCAACTTAACTCGAGGTTGGTAGGAGGTAACTGGATCTGCACACGAAAAATATGTGCAGAAGAGGCGTGAGTAAACCACAACGGTACCCAGTAAGTGCCAAGCCTAACCTCGGTCGAGTAGTGACGAGGTCAGGTGAGGGCCCTACTGGTATTTATATGAAAAGACAAGACGGGACAATAATATCGCAGTAAAATAAAGACTGAAATTTAACAAGAATGAATTTATAGAAAGGTAACAGCTCAGTACACAGAGATAACAACAAGGGATCTCCCGAGATACCGTCTCGTAGTTCCAAACGTAAATGTGCAGGGGATCTCCCGGAATACCGTTCCGTAGTCCCAAAGTAAATATGCAAGATAGGGGGATCTCCCGCAATGCCATTCCGTCGTCCATAAGTAAATATGCAAGATAGGGGGTCCCAAAGTAAATACGCAGCTCAAACAATAGAAATAACAGTTACAGCCAGGAGCCTACAGTTTAGGCTAAGTACAAGTCAAGGAATAAGCAAGAAATCCACTAAGCATGCTGCACATGGTTCAGATAAGCAATTAAGGCACGTAGACATGCTATTCTAGGCTAACAGGATACTACACATGCTAGTATAACTCAAATAAGAAGAAAACCGGTTATTTTTCAATAGAAATCAGGTTTTTACAACAATTAGCTCGTGTACGTACTCATCACCTCACGTACACGACGCTCACATATCAAAATCAATACCAAATCCTAAGGGGGGTTTCCAAAAATTACGTGCTCACAAAAATAATTCCCCCTCCTCTCAACAAAAAGAAGATCTCGCCATAAGCAAATAAACAGAAAAGGAGAAGGAGAAAAAATGATTTTAAATGGAGAAGGCTTACAAGAACACTTACATCATTGTTTTTCCTTTCACGTAAATAGTTTTAAAAAGGAAGAATCTTATAGAGCATTTGCAAGAGCAATATATGTCTAGAATCACTAATAGGAAAAATATCAAATTTAGGTAAGTAACTACAATTGTCGCAAGTAAAAATACTAGTGGAATCTTATCTAAGTACTTCCTCTGAGTTGAATTATTTATTCCACCACGGGAGATTGAGAGCCCGTTTGGATTAGGTAATTGTAAATAGCTGATAAATTTGAAGTGCTGAAAAGCATTTTTAAGTGCTGAAGCTGATTTTTGAAATAAACATTTACGAGTTTGGATAGACGTGCTGAAACTGATAATAAGCAGTTGATTTGTTTGATAGAAAAGTGCCGATAAGTTGTTCTTTTATTAAAATGACTAAAATATCCTTAAAAACTTTACAAAAGATTATAAATTAAAAACTTTCTTTGTAAAGAAAAAGATGAACAATGAATATAGAATGAAGAGAAAGTTAGAAAATTTATTTTGGGAAAAATATTTTGTGAATTAGAAAATATTATTAAGGATAAACTACTAAAAACCTTGGTCAAACTAAAAGTGCTTATAAGCTAAAAAGTCATAAGTTGGGGGTGACCAACTTATGACTTATGGTTGATTTTAGATTATAAGCACTTTGGGTGTTTACCAAACGCGTAGATAAGCCAAAAGGTGCTTATAAGTCAGTTTGACCAACTTATAAGCTTAGCCAAATATCATCTCATACAATAGGCCAAGAAGAAAGAACATATGAACAAGATTTACCAAATTATAAAGTAAAATTATATGTTCTGCTTTTTCCTTCTCATCGCATCCCATCTAGGGCCATAATTCCCCAATAGTCTACTTGGTAGAATTACAGGATCACTGTCCTCTGTCAAACAATTAAGAGGAAATCCTGCCATTTCTTGCACCTACAAAAAAACAGTAGTAGTTACAATTTCCGATTACGCAAAAAGAAAAAGTACCAACCTGGAGAATTAAGTCTATGTATATTTTGGTGTAAACCCGTTGAATTCCCTACGCTTGAGCAAAAGTGCAAAAGAATATATAGGGAGTAGTATTCCTTTAAATTCCATTATTAGGTGAAGAAAGTTATTTTCAGTTTTGAAATTTGAATTAATGGAAAGAATACATTCACGATTTTCTGTTACCTGTTCATTATTTCCGTTAAGACTTTTAATTAATTATTAATACTGGCCAGCTTTTGTAACGGAGTGTCCACGTTCCGGCAGCCCTTTATCGGTGCAAAACAACGCAATTTTTGAGGTGTTTATGATAATTGAAAACATAAATGAACAAAAATAGAGGAAAAAAGCAAAAAACAGGAAAAAGATAAATCCCTGCTTTATATATAGATATGGATTGGGTTAGGATCCCCTCCAGTGATGTTTGGTCCAGTATTGTTCAATAGGGTATTGATTTTGTCACACGTGTCCTACATACTAATCAATGGACAAGATTTTTTGAACTAAAAAAGCTAGTTTAACCATGGTTTCTCCTCTCTCCTGTTTTACGTCCATGTAGTCAAGACTACCAAACATAATTTCTTTCGCTCCTTGCTAATGAATTATGAATCATGGTTCTTTTCTGGATCTGTTCACGTCCACTTTAGCATCGGTGAAATCACCTAAGGTTGCTTTCTTTCTGGGATGTCTGGATTGAGTTTAGTGGTTCGAAGCCATTTTAATTCTATCTCATGCATAGCCGCGAAACAAATTCATGTAGGACGTCATTTTTCATCTCACCAATACATTCGAAAAGAAAACAATTTAGGATCTCGAACAATAAAACATCGGACAAGAAATTGGTGGTTGTGGTGTTTATCAATCTTAATTTGAGCACATCAAATAAAAGTCTTCGACATGACAAGGAATGGTGGTGTACCCGTTTGATAAAAACAATTTACTGCCTCAGCCTCTTTGATTAATTGAATGAAAAGTGGGTGATTGAAGTATGAAACATTATCTTCTACTTGCCCTATTTTAATCGCCAGGTACCCTTTCGGGACATTGATAATTGGTATTTGCCTATTTCTTCCCTGGACTATTTTGAATAAGGCGAGGCAAGTGCAGATGTTTTTTTTTAGGTAATTCAAATATTATTAATTCAAGGCAGCAAATTACAAAAAAATATGGCTAACTCAGCCAGTATGAGTCACTACTACGTATCCCTTCTATACTCCCTGCCACTATTGCCTAGTTTACATTATAGTACTTCTATTGCCCCCCTCCTATATAAACTTGTATTGTAGAACATCTTTGAGTTTACCTACAGCTCTAATATTACAAATGTAGATAATTTCTCTCACAATGCTTTGTCTATCTCTATACACCTTCTTGAAAACTCTATGGTTTCTTTCCACCCATATGCTATATACTGTTTCAGCTAGAACCATTCTCAGCAGTTGTCCTTCAGCTGTTTTCTTCTTTGCTTTCCCCACAAACCAGCATAGTAACTGACTCCATGTATTAGCTGGTACTGGAATTTGTAGCCATTTGAATATGTCACACCATACTTCCATGATAGTAGAACAATTATAGAACAGATGATGATGGTGTTCTGGTTGACATTTGCAGAATACACATGTAGTATCCACGTTCATGTTCCATTTGCTCAGCCTGTCTGCCGTTAGCATCCTTTCCTGAATGATCAGCCACATAGAAAATATTGCTTTGGGTCTAGCTAAGTTGCTGAACATGACTGCTTTCCACTCTACCTTGTCTAATGCTCCCAGTTGTTGCAAATATAACTGTTTGATGACACTACCTTTGCTTCCTTATTTTCGAATCTGAAGACTTGGCCCTTTGATAGTCAGGATTTTTTGTACCATCCAGCTAGCTTGTTTAGCCTCCTTGATGCTCAATATAGGGTGCCCCTTTATATAGTACATATGCACCCATTTGATCTACAGTCTGTCATTTTTTGAAGCTAGGTCCCATTGTAGTTTGAGAATGGCTGCTTTGTTCCATTGCTTCAGGTTTATGATATTTAATCCACCTGCACTCTTTGGCCTGCAAACTTTTTCCCAAGAAATCAAAGCTCGTTTGATTATTTTATTTGTCCCTGACCATATAAAACTCCTGTAATAAGCTTCAATAGTTTTGATCACCTTGGTTGGAATAAGGAACATTTGAGACCAATAGGATTGAATTCCAAAAAGTACTGCTCTTATAAGTTGGATTCTTCCAGCATATGACAATTTCTTTGCAGTCCAGGAAGAAATTCTTGCTACAATTTTTTCAATCAATGGTTGCCATTGAATTACCTTCATTTTCCTAGTAGTTAGAGGGACTCCTAGGTATTTGAAAGGTAATTCACCTCGTATATAGCCCAACTGCTGAAGGATGTCTTCCTGTTCTGTGTCTATTACCCCTCCAAAGTAAACTGAACTTTTACTTAGATTAGCTTGAAGGCCTGAGGCTGCAGAAAAAATATCAAAGCACTGTTTCAGCATTGCCACAGAATGCTTATCCCCCTTAGCAAATAGTAACAGGTCATCAGCAAAACTCAAGTGAGTAATGCTTTATTTCTTGCATTTTGGGTGGAAGTTGAATTGCTTCTTGTCCTTCAGCTCTGTCAGTAGCCTACTTAGGTATTCCATGGCTATAGCAAATAGGAAGGATGACATTGGATCACCTTGTCTGAGTCCCTTTGCTGCATGAAAAGGCTCAGCCAACTCTCCATTGATCAAAATAGAGTAACTCACACTTTGGATACAAGCTGCTACCCATTGTGTAAATCTATGAGGGAATCCTAATCCTTCCATAACCTGTAGGACATAACTCCATTCCACACTGTCATAGGCTTTTTGCAGGTCCACTTTAATCATGCATCTAGGAGATATGTGCTTCCTTGAGTGGGCTCTAATCAGCTCATGGGCTAGTATAGTATTGTCTGCTCCTTTCCTTCCAGGTATAAAGCCAGCTTGTGCCTCATCAATTAGGTAGTTCATAACTTTCTGCAGTCTTGATGCTAAGAGCTTAGCAATGATTTTATACAGTACTGAGCAGCAGGATATAGGTCTATAATCTTTGATAGTAGCAGGATTAGATATCTTGGGTAATAGAGTGACAGTTGTGCAATTAATGACCCTGGGCATTTTTCCTGTTTCAAAGAACTCCATGATAGCTTCATAAACATCCTCCTTCATTATATCCCATGCTTTCTTAAAAAACACTGCATTGTACCCATCAATCCCAGGTGCTTTATCATTTTCAATAGCCTGAATACAGTCATCAACTTCCTGTCTAGTTATAGCTTTGATCAATTCCACAGATTGTTGTTGAGTTAGTTGAGGTCCCTTCTTCATTGTTTGCATATTCACAGCAGGTAGTTGATTAGCAGCCTTTCCCATAAGTGATTTGTAAAATTCTACAATCTCTCTCTTAATACTCTTTGGTTCTGTCAGTATAGTACCATTCAAAGCTGTTAAGATTGTAATGTTTTTCCTGCATGCTCTTTCTTTCATCACTGCAAAGAAGTATTTGTTGTTTCCATCTCTTGTTCTGATCCATTGGGCTCTTGATTTTTGCTGGGAAATCTTTTCTTCAATGATTGACCACTTCTCTAATTTTTCTCTAGCTGCCTTCTCCATCATCCTTAGTTGGTCTGTGTAGCCTTTCTTCATCTCTTGTTGACATTCAATTATCTCCCTTCTTGCTTGTTCAATTTTTACTGCTGCATCTCTGAAATTTTTGTTATTTAGATTCTTGAAATCTGCTTTCATTTCTTTCATTCTATTCCAGATGGTTACTAATTTGCAATGATGCTGTCTTCCTTGCCACCCTTTAGTAACTATGCTTTGGAATGCCTCATGATCAGCCCAAACATTCAAGAACCTAAATGGGATTTTAACAGAATTCCTTCTTTCAAATTTCAGAGACAAAGGAGAATGATCTGAAATGAATGGATCTCCAACTTCAACTGTTAGATGTCCAAACTTCATCATCCATTCACCATTTCCTAATGCTCTATCAATTTTACTTATTACTCTATCCACTCCCATTTGACCATTAGACCATGTAAAATAGTCTCCCCTCCAAGGGATATCAGTAGTCATGGTATCTGAGCAGAAGTCTGCAAAGTCCTGGATATCAGCCAATGTTACTTCCTGCCTTGATATTCTGTCTTGAGTAGTCTTGATTGCATTAAGGTCTCCCTATATGAGCCATGGTTGATTTATAGATTGAGCCAGTATCTTTAGCTTTTGCCACATTCCTTTCCTCAAGTCTGCACTGTTATATCCATATGCCACAGCCATAGCACAACACACATTAGTGCTAGTAACATTACAATGGATAAACTGAGCATCTTTAACCACTGCATCCACCTGCCAAATATTTGTGTCAAACATAATCCATATTCTACCATTTGCTGCTTGGTCATAGTTGTGCACAAGTTCCCAGTTATTTGGTATTTTAGGGGCAATTACAGAAGTTTTATGCTGTTTAACTCTAGTCTCTACAAATCCAGCTAGTGTTATATGTTTGTCTTTGATGTATTTAGCTAACTCCTTCTGTTTATGTCTTTGATTTTCCCCCCTTACATTCCACATAAGCATTGTCATTTAAAATGTTCATTTGTACCACCTCTATCTGGTGGTTGCCTATCCTCTTATCCCCCTTCTAGAATCCCAAATACATTTTTTGTGGTAATAGAAAAATTCATACCAATCTGTGCATTGCTAGAACTAGTAGCACTTTCATTTTTCCCCTTTGAATTAGTCTCTTTCCCATTCATCTGAGTATGCCCCTGTGCATTTGTCATTGCTGCCCTATTAGTTCTAGGGGATTTGTTTTGCTCCATACTCTGTGCAGGTTCCTTAGGAATAATCATAGCTTGCTCAGCAATTGTCTGTGCTACATTTGTGTTCTGTGTTATCTTCTCTTTACTTCTTCACTCTTTAGCTGGTTGTTGTGTCCTTCCAATCGTTTTCTGCATTTGTTTCCTTTGCATTTCCTCATTTCGTTTGCAAACATGCCCCATTTGTTGACAGTCAGGGCAGAACTCAGGTTGCCATTCAAACCTCACCACTTGCCGGTGTATCTTCCCCGATGGATCCCTCATTTTGACTTCATTTGGCAATGGTTTAGTTATGTTGACTTCAATCAGCATCCTGGCAAAAGATATTCTAGATTGCTTAGCTGTACATTCATCAGCAAATAAGGGAACTCCTATTGCACTTCCTAGCCTGCTTAGTGAATCCTTACTCCAGTATGTCATAGGTAAATTAGGAAAAGAGACCCATAGAGGTATCTCTTTAAGAAAAGTTGCATTAAACTCAGCATCTGGAGACCATCTTTTCAGGATGATAGGTCTATTGTTCATTGTGTAAGGTCCCCCATATAACACTTCTTTCAAATCTTCTTCCTCTGTGAACTTTGCTATGTAATATCCCCTGTCATGCCAGAATAGTTCAGAACATGTGGTAGACCAGTTTTGGCTTATGTACCTCTTCATGTGATTATACCCAGGAATTTCCCCAATAACAGCAACAATCAGAGAATGTTTCCACTTATCAGCTTCCTTTGTTGTCTCCTTAGGATCTAATTGAATAACTACATTTCCATCAACGATCGTCGGAGGAATGTAAGACAGAGCAAGGCCATTAGAAGCCATTCGATTCCTAGCAAACAAATTTGCCCATACCGGAGCTTCTGTATCCTTATTTGGTTCTGATTTCTGAGAATTTTCATTTGCACGTACAATTGTTTGAACTTTTTCTATGATCGTTACATTCGAAGATGAAGGCATGCAATCATTCAGAATTTTACTCTTTCCATTATCAACCTTTGTTGTTCTATTCTCCTCAATTACTTCTATATTTCTAGGATTATTCACAGTAGAACTGTTACCATTCATTTCTGCCATTGATGCTTCCGCTGGTGTCATCGATTGCGATTTTTGAGAGATTACTGATGTTGATGGAGATGAATTCGATGATAGGGAGCTTCCTAGAGCTAGGATCTGTGTTTTCCTTGGTCTTCCTGGTCCGTTCCCCTTGCCTCTCGCCATTGATAACCGCTTTCCCCGCCAAACGTAACCACCGCTTGGTGGAGATCGTCAATGGAGAAAGAGGGCGGTTTTTTTAAGTTTTTTCAAGTGCAGATGTTTGTTAAGAAGAGTCCTCTCTCCACCACCAAATAATTAATATTGATAATAAAAGAAATACTAATCACAGAGAGCAAAGAATGAAAAAACAATAAAGGCAAAAAGAATAGCTTGAAAAGGGTTAAATAAGAACCGCTGAGAGGAGAAATAGAACCATGGTTAAACTAGCTTTTTAGCTAATCAGATCTTGTCCATTGATTAGTATGTAGGACACGTGTGACAAAATCAACACCTTATTGAACAATACCGGACCAAACATCACCGGAGGGGATCCCAATCCATATGGATTTGCCTAATTTGATTTAATACTTAAGTCCTCACCTTTCGTTCTCTTTCCTATGATGTCTCCTTTTATATTAAAACTAGAGAAATTGTCCGCGCTTCGCGCGGTCACTATAAATGTCATTGAACAGAATAATTATTATAAATTCAATCCAGATAGTGGAGATAATTATTTTTTATTTAAATGCATATAAGAAATTATTCTATATATTGATTAAGTTACAAAAGATAATATTCTTGTTAGAAGTTGAGCTTAATGAATCTATCTTCTTATCAGATTTTTTTATGAATTTTAAGGAGACTTGT